GGGGGGGGGGGGCGGGGTGGGGGAAAGGGGGCGAGAGAAGGGAGGGGAGAGCTCAGGACCTCAGCCTTACAGCCAAGAGGGGGGGTAGTGGAGTACACCCACCAGGGCTTGGGGCTTTAGCACAAGTGGAGCGGAAGCCCCGAGCACCAGCCCACAGCAGATGTGCTGCGCCTCTCGAACTGCTGTAGATCCTCGCCTGTGGCTCGGGGGGCCAACCAGTTTAGCCACCCAGTACAGACAAACCCTTCAGTCACATGGGAGAAAACAGCAAAGGGACCACAAAGGAAAAGCTGACCCTAGTGTTCACTTACCCTCTCCAAGGCAGCAGGGCTAGAGAAAGACCCTGGGTTAACGTCAGGAATATGAGGGTTAATGTGTGTGCGTCTGAATTTCAAGTGTAAATTCTTGTTTGTTTGACTTAGTCAGACCCAGTACAGACAAACCCTTCAGTCACATGGGAGAAAACAGCAAAGGGACCACAAAGGAAAAGCTGACCCTAGTGTTCACTTACCCTCTCCAAGGCAGCAGGGCTAGAGAAAGACCCTGGGTTAACGTCAGGAATATGAGGGTTAATGTGTGTGCGTCTGAATTTCAAGTGTAAATTCTTGTTTGTTTGACTTAGTCAGAGGCCTGCTGGGGAAAACGCGGGGTGAGGTATTCTGGCAGCACTTCCCATAAGCACTCCCCACCCCAAGAGTTAGAGTGCAGAGCTTCTGCACCAAATCCAGCCATGGCTTCTTCTGAGGTCTCTTCCAGTTCTATGATTCTATGATTCTGCTTGCACCAGGGCTGAACTTGGCCCTCTGTTTTCAGGGCTTGCACCTGCCCTCAGGTGGCTGCACTGTGACCCCCAAGGAGAGCAGGCCATTGTATTTCTGTATGCAAAGCTGAGGCCAATCTTTTGTTCCTTGCAGACCCTCCGGAGCACGAACCTGCTGTTTCTCCCTTGCTCCCGCGGAAGGAAAGAATTGCCCTGGAGAGCAGTTTAAACGAAGATGAGCGGTTGCTTCCAAAAGACAAAAAGACCAACCTCTTCAGTGCCCTTATCAAGAAGAAGAAGAAGACGGCCCCTGCCCCTCCGAAACGGAGCAGCTCCTTCCGGGAGATGGACGGCCCCTCGGACCGCAAGGGTGGGGGCGAGGATGAAAGCAGGGATGCCAGCAATGGAGCCTTCATCGCACCCACTGCAGACGCCATCGAGGCCTCCAAGTGCCAAGGCCCGAGCAATGGGGCTGGTGTCACTAACGGAGCTATCGCTGGGAACTCGGTCTTTTTGTCCCCCCACCTGTGGAAGAAAACCAGCAGCATGACGGGCAGCCGGCCGGCAACGGGGGAAGAGGAGTGTAGTTCTAATGCCAGCAAGCGCTTCCTGAGGTCCTGCTCAGCATCCTGCATGCCCCATGGAGCCAAGGACACGGAGTGGAGATCCGTGACGCTGCCCAGGGATTTGCAGTCCACGGGGCGGCAGTTTGATTCCTCCACCTTTGGCGGGCACAGGAGCGAAAAGCCAGCCCTGCCACGGAAGCGGGCGAATGAAAACAAGGCGGATCTTGCCGTCAGGGGGACGGTGACGCCCCCTCCACGGCTGCTGAAGAAAAACGAAGAGGCAACTGACGATGTGTTCAAAGACCCAGAATCCAGCCCTGGCTCCAGCCCGCCCTCTCTGACACCAAAACTTGTCCGCAGGCAACCTGTGAGCACTCCTTCCTCCAGCCAGGCCCACAAGGACGATGGCAGCAAAGCCAGTGCCTTAGGTTCCACTGTGCAGCCAGAGCAAGGTCCTGCTGTCAGACCCAGCCCTGCTGGGGTTGTGGGTGTGAGCAAGGCTTCCACCGAGGAGCCAAGGCTCAGGCGGCTCAAGCAGACTTCCGAGTCATCGGGGAAGGACAAGGGGAAGGTGTCAAAACTGAAACCGGCCCCTCCACCTCCCCTCTCCTCAGCTTCCATTGGGAAGCCTGGAAAACCATCCCACAACCCCACCCATGATGCAGCAGCAGAGGCAGGGGCTGGTACTAAATCTAAACTGTTGACTCAGGTTGCAGACCCCACTAGCAGTGATGCCGCCAAGGCAAACCAGCTAGGGGAAGGGGCAAAAAAGCCTGTGATCCCCTCCGTACCAAAGCCACAGTCCTCCACGAAGCTGCTGCTGACCACTGCCGCCCCAGCCCCCTCTTCTGCACCTGCACCATCTGCCCCAAGCGGGGACCAGCTGACCTCCACAGCCTTCATCCCCCTCATCACCACCAGAGTCTCCTTGCGCAAAACCCGCCAGCCTCCAGAGAGGATAGCCAGTGGCACCATCACCAAGGGTGTGGTACTAGAAAGCACCGAGGCCCTGCGCATCGCCATCAGCAAGAACTCTGAACAAATGGCAAGCCACAGCGCCGTTCTGGAGGCCGGCAAAAACCTCTACACGTTCTGCGTGAGCTACGTGGACTCCATCCAGCAGATGCGGAACAAATTTGCCTTCCGCGAGGCCATCAACAAGCTGGAAAACAACCTTCGGGAGCTCCAGATCTGTCCAGCCACTGCTAGCAGCGGCCCTGCGGCCACGCAGGACTTTAGCAAACTTCTCAGCTCAGTGAAAGAAATCAGCGATATTGTTCAGAGGTAGCAGGAGCCAAGAAATGCTTCTCTCTCTCTCTCTCTCTCTCTCTCTCTCTCTCTCTTCTATAACGGACCAAAGCCAACTGCAAAGAGGACAGCTGAAGCGCAATGGCAAACTGACAGAGAACCCAGGGGCCTTCAGTACACGGATGTGCAAAAGGCCCAGCCCTACTGCCTCAAGTCGGGTGTTCCCCAAGGTGCACTTTTCTGCCGTTCACCGACGTGCCCTGCATCTCTCCTACTCAGAACCCTCTGCTCTGTGGAGTTCTTGCCCTGTGGACTACAGGGCTAAATGTGGAGATCACCACAGGCCTTTTTCTAGTGTTTTATTCTTTTGGACAGAGCTTTAGGTGGAACCCGGACTGATGGCTGTTAATATTTTGCCTTCCTCCCTGGAGAATTCTTGTTGCAGTTTCATTCCCTCCCCTGCCCCCATTGTGCATGAGGATGAGTGTGTAAATAGCAAGATATGCCCGGCTTTCCTGGGGGCACAACGTCCCCTCCCCCACGGACAACGTCCCTGACACTAGCCCCACAGATTTGGGGGTAGGGAGAGTTAATGAAACGGACCGTTCTGAGATATGTTTACAAAGGCCCCTCTGTGGTTCTGTTGGTGACCTTTAGCTGCTGGCCAAGGGCGCCATGTTTCCTCATGCCAGACTTTAGAGCCCTGATGAACGGCTGTGGGCTCAGACGGACACAGATGGTCCCTGTTAGCGCAGGGGTGCACAAGCCCATTTGTGGATCTCTTTTGGTAACCGTAAAGGACTGGTGCTTGACGGCGTCTGCTTTACAGGAGGGGCACAGCTGTGCATTGCAGAAACACGGCCCTGCAGGCTGAAGCTTGGGGGCAGGGCAGGCCCTTTGTGAGCGCAAGGAGCTGACGCTGAGGCTGCATTGCTGAGAGAGGCGGCAGCGGGGAGGGGGAGGAGGGTGAATTGGAAGACACCACTGTGCCTCCGGGAGTGGCTTTAGTTGAGTTTGTGCATCCCAAAGGGGCACAAGCTGCTGCCTCAGTAGCGCTGGTACTTGACTAGGTAAATTTCCAGCCACGTCACTTAGGAGAGCCACGTGGGAGCCATGAGCTCTGAGAAGGGCTGCGCCACTCCTGGCTGCTCTCCTGCAGGCCCTGTTGGAAGAGGAAGGTGGGACATGACGAGCCCTTCCTTTCAGCCTCAGCACTAAGTCCCACGGCAGAGCGGAGCGTCTCTGCCTAGGGCTTGGAGTTGTTCATTTCATTCCAGGAGAAACATTATTGGTTCTGTCCAGGGTTCAGCAAAGCGCAGAGAAGCCTGTGGACACCTGTTGCCTTGGGTGCACTTCCCAAAGGGGTTGTCTAAGGAGGCCACAATGTTCTGACACAGTAACTCCTAGGCAGCCTTTCCCACTTCACTTTGCCCTTCCCAACTAATCCAATGGATTTGGGGACTAACTGTGACTCGCTGTCTTATTGAAAGGACATGACTTTAAGATGATTAACAGTGCAATTTAACTCCTTTTAACTCTGGACAAGAGAAGAAAGCAATCTCTTCCCCTCCTCCTCCCCCATTCTCCCAGTCTTGCCTGTGAAACCCTACCATGTGTATCTTGAACACTAATCGCTTCGGATTATATTTTATTTTTCTCTTCTGAACTGTTTTGTAGATGATTTTGATCTTTTCTATGTTCACACCATTCTGCTCTCACAGATCTCTATGGCTTAGCATGTGACACTCAATACACACACAAATACCACAGGCTGCCTTTACAAAATGCAAAAATACATGCAACAAAACAGTCACAATCAAAGTAAAACAAAACAAAAAAACACAAAAAACCCATCCCTTGGACTATCTCTTTTCTGAGGTACTGTTTTAACTTTGTTGATAACATATTGTGCCACTATATTATACATTTGTATCTCAGTATTACACACTTTTGTAGACTCTTGTCTTTTTTACTATGTGTAAATAGCTCTGTCCTTCCTTTCTGTAATACCAAAGGGGCTGTTTCCCCTTTATTTTGGTCCAATACAGATTGTTTCTGTATGTGGCGGCGCTCTCTTGTTTTTCTTTTGGGGGGGGGGGTTATTTTTTAATTCCAGTCGCTCTTACATAGTCTATTTAAAATGTATTTAAAAAATCTGTGTCAAGAGAAAACACTGGTGCATTGGTCCACTGACGGGGCTCTCTCAACCTGAATGACCTCTCTCTGGCACATGGTGCGAGCTCTCACGGCACCCTCTGTGTGTGAAATATATCACAAAGGCCTTTCTGCTCACCGTGCTGATCAGAACTAGGGATGTGAAGGACTAGTCAACTAGCCAATGAGCAAATGTTTATTGGGTAGTCTACTAGTCACTTCTCTCCCCCCCCTCCCCCCCCGCTGTCTCTATCAGAAAGAGGCAGCAAGGGGGGAAGAGGAAGGGGTACTTCAAAGCAGCAGCACCACTTGAAGCCTGGGGCCAGACCCTGGGCTCCACGCACCGCTGCCACTTTGAAACACCATGGGGACCCCGGCATCAGGCTCCTTGCTGCATTTCAAAGCGGCAGCGCCACATGGAGCCTGGGATCAGCTGGGGACTCCTTCACTGACCCTGGGCTCTGTGCTGCGCTGCCCCATTGAAACGCCACGAGGAGCCCAGCGTCAGGCTCCCCGCAGCGTTTCCAAGAGGCAGTGCTGACCCCAGGCTCCACATGGCGCTTTCGCCCCTTCAGAGGCGGAGCCGCCCTATTGACTAACCGAATAGTCAATACAAAAAATGCATCAACTGTTCGATTTAGTCGGTTAGTCAATACTTAACATCCTTAATCAGAACCAGAGGGCAGTGAGTCACCAGGGTCTTTCGAACTAGCTCTGAAAATCATACGCAGAAAAAAATGGACAGAAGAAAGATCTGAACGTGGTTCCTTCTTGAAGTCAGGGTTTTGCCTTAGGACTTGACCCTAGAGTTTGGTTCCTCTGCCATGTGCCTTTCATTCCAGACCTGGTCTCTGCTCTCTCTTCCCCTTTGATGGAGAGTGGCCTGTGTCTCCATTCTTCTAAAATAATTTCTGGCTACTCCATAGTGATTTCCGGTTGATGTACTGACTTTGAGGCAGCTACAGTTTGGTGGCCTGAATCCAAAACGGGAAGCAAGGAACTTCTGGCTCCTAAGCCCAGTTTTAACCCTAATTCACTGTGATGTTTTCTCTCTGCTAATTGGGGATGCTGCTGCTCCAGAGAACAGCTGCCAGGGTTCTCCCTCCTGGGTTTCAGATTCTTGGGGTGAGATTTGCAAAAGTTCCCACACCCCTAAAGGCCATTGGTTGTGGTCTGACAGATGAGCCAAGGTCTCTTTTGGCCATTGTGTGCTACCCCCGAGCTTAACTGTGGATGGAACAGACCAATGGATTCCTCCTTCACCAGTCTGCAAATCTCAGAAGACTGGTCATATCCTTATGCCTATTGTATTAGGAGGCATGCAGACACAGAGATAGCCCCTGCCCCAGCTAGTTTATACTTTGACAGACCAGATCTGAGAGAGAGGGCAAAGAGAGGTGAAGTGACTTGCCCAAACTCACATAACGCATCAGTAGCAGAGCTCAATAAAGGACCAGAGAGATCTAACATGCATAATAAAGGGAAAACTTGATATGGGACGTAGGGGTTCATCAGCGTGTTTGTCCAGCTGCTGTCACTCATGTGCAGGTGAGATTGGACCATGATGTTCTTTAATTAGCAGAAAGGTATTAAAAACAACAACAAAGCAGGGATGTGCAATGGGTAAGTATAAATTTTATTAGTGGCAAAATTGGAGCCACTATTCGCTTGTCCTGGATGGATTCTTTAATAGATAATACACATGAAAGAACAAGACGGTCACAATTATGACAATATCCCTTGGAGAGCTCAACACGAGAATGTTTTAGATTTTCACCGCAGACATAAAGAGGTGGATGCAGTTAATAGCTATCCACTGTGTGTAGATGCTGCTTTGGATCAGGGTAGGAAGGATTGGAGAGCAAGGAAGCAGTAATTGGGCTTAGCGCTACATGAAATTATTCCTGAAAATCCTTCTCTCACTGTGGACTATACTCTGGGAGAGGGGAGGTCAGTGAGTGGGTGGAGAAGGCACCAGGAAATACAAGATTGGAAGGGGGGAAAGGAAGTTAACACTCAGGCCTGGTCTGCACTAGGAAACTGGATCATCTTAACTATATCACTTACGGTTGTAGAACGTCCACACCCCTAAGCAGTGTCTAAGTTGATGGAAGAATCCCTCCTGTGGTTATAAGTGATGTCTACACAGAAGCTCTCCAGTTGCTCTGCTGTAGGGTTTTGTGTGTAGACCAGCACTAAATGTAGCATGACGTGGGAACCGATTTAACAAATTGTTACATTTAACAGATTGATTGCTCCAATTTTCAGGATTATTGAACCTGAAAGTGTATGAATGCTCAGGGGAGCAAATACTTTGATTTAGTTTGACATAATGCTCCCTGTCAGGTTTTCCTCAAATGCATCCTGCCCTTTTAGCAGCAGCTTTGCTCAGGAAATCACTTGTGGCAAGATTCTGAACATGGTCAATGTCCATTTCCAAAAATAAATACATGTCCCTTTGCCCACACCAAGCACCCTCTCCTGCATAGATGCTGCTAGACAATCCTCTCTCCCAATGGGGGAAATTACTGCCAGCTACAGGGGCATCTGGATATGGAGTTTGCTGTCAATGCTTCTCTGCCCCACGTTGTTTGGGTGCATTCTCCGCTGATCAGAGCATGTTCCTGAGCCTCTCTTGTTCCCTTTCCAGCAGGGGCTTTAGCTGCCAGCCCAGTGAATCCTGGCCCTGGGGGTTGGCATTCTTGCTCAGACACATGCTGGTCTTCGCCTGATCTTCAGAGGGGCTTGGTGCTTCTACGTCACCTTTGCTCCTGAGAGGTGGTGGGAGTCCAAGCTGCGCCCACTGCTGGGGAAGAGCCCCAGCTGTGAGCCCTTGAGCTCTAGCGCCATCTAGTGGTCTACACCAGGAGCAAAGCTCCTATCAGAGGTAAGGAGCCACCATGAAGGACTTGGGGGGGACTGATGTCCCCAGACTGAGCAGGACTGGGAGGAGAACTGGCAGCCCAAAGTGCAGTGGCTTTTCAGGATGAGGGGTAGTGGAGATTTGTTCTTGCACTGGCCTAGGAATTGGTCACAGAGAGAGAAATAAAAAGTTCCCAGCAAATACAAAGCTTTTACATTTTCCATTCCACTGCCCCTGCCCTCCCCAGAGGGCCCTTCTTCAGCATCTCGCAAAAACTCTTTAATGTGGAGCAAAAATGACCTGCCCGGTGCGTCCCTTTGACTCCCGGCCGGCGTGACACGGGCCTGTCCCCCTCCAAGGAAGCACGGCTCAACCAGCCAATCCCGGCCAGCATGTGGCAGCTCACAGCCCGGCAGGCGGCTCTTTCCTTTCTGCTGCAGCTGACAAAGCAGCCTGACGGGATAAAGCTGTGTTGGAACCAAGCTTGGTCACACCTGGGGCTGCTCCACTCACCTGGGAAGCCAAACGCCAAGAAATTCCCCTCATGGAAGGCAGTTTTGTCCCTTTATAGCAGCCTGTACAGACGATGCACAAAGCCCCGTTTGAACCCCACCCTCAGCTTACCTCCCCGAGCCGGGGATATACCCCCAGAGTCCTGGCTTCCAGCTCCTGCGCTAATCCCGAGACTTGTCCTCTCCCAGAGTGGGCAAAACTGCTTTTCACTGTCAGGCACCCTGCTGCCGAGTGCTGCCCCCGCCCAACCATAAGGTTCCGAGGGTACTCTGGAAGGCCACCCGGCCTAGCCGAGCTGTGTGCAAAACCAGCTGTTCTCCCCCTCCCTGCCTGTAAAATTGGCTGGTGGCTGTTTGCTGAGGGTTTGAACATTCACCAAGGAAACAGCGAGCAGGGTTGCCATAGGAACATCAATAACAGCTCCCCAGCTCGGCTGTGCAATCAGACCAGTTCTCTGAACGCGGGGCCTTCCCAGGGATGGGATGTGAGAAGGACCAAAAGGGCATTTCTAAATGTATTGGACTCCTGTCCCCCAGCTGAGTCCATCCCAGCTTGGACGTGCTGAGCGCTGCCGGCTGCCTTTCTCTTTGCAATGCTGCTTGCAGTGAGAGCTGTTCCCATAATGGGAAGAGAGAGGAAGAGTGTCCTGCCCTGTCCTGCCCTGCCTCTCCCCGTCAAATAGCAGCCTTGCAAGCTGCCAGCCCAGTGAATCCTTAGGGTGACCTGGCTGCACTTAATGTGCATGTGGAACAGGGGCAGGAGGGAGACTTCTGCTCTCGTGTCTCTGTAAATACCAGATAACTCCCTTGCAAAAGGCAGTTTCACATCCACTGAGTTCAGAATCAGGGCTGCTGGCCTGCCCAGAGCCACCTGCAGTGAGCCGTAGCCAGGTCTCCGGCCGCCGCTGGAAGTGTCCTCACACTCTGCCTGGCCTAGCTCAAGTCACGCCAGGAGCGCTGGCTGGGGGAGGTCTGCCTACGTGATGTGCCCCTTCTGGAGCTTGGCTTTGCAGCCAGATCTTGACCTGCTTTCTGCTTTTCATGTGCAGTTTAGTGCCTGCTACATCTGCTGTGCCTGGGTGAAGTATTAGGAGCCATGAGCCCCTTAGTACCTGCAAGCCAGGTAACTGGACCCTGGATTATTTGTGCCGGCCATTGAGGGTGCAGAAAAGCAGGCGCAGTAGGTTGCAGTTGCAAAACGGTGTCTGCCAAAGAGGCCAGCTCTGAGAATCAGGCTCAGGCTGCAGGGCTGGGTTTTACCCTGTGCTGTGCAGAGCCCTACCAGTGGTGAGGCGTCACCCATGGCAGAGCTGGTGGCAGTGCTAGTGTGCACCAGTCACTGGGGTCTCCACCCCAGAAACAGGGTGGGGTGAGGGGTGTAGATGAAGCTGCGCTTAGAATTTCAGCCACTAAGCTGCATGTCGTGCCCCCCCAGTACTGGGAGCCTTTAACCCACACGGGCGGGTCAGCAAAGTGCTTGCAGCTTTGGTTGACACACCCCCACCAAACAGGGGAAGAATGTCCCAAGCGGCCTTCTGTCTGAGAGAAACAGAAAATAACAGACATTTTACATGTCTGCTATTTTCTGGGAGGGGATTTTACCAGACAGAGGTGGCAAATACCAGACTGTCCAGGCGGATTCCGGACACCTGGCAACCCGACTTGCAGCTGGCCCAGTTCAGCAGCAGGGGAAGGTCTGGGCTTGCCCTGCATCGCTACTGCCTGTCAGCCCTGCCTGCTCTTCCAAAGCTGCCCGAATCAGATCTGGGAGACAGCAACACTCTGGCCCCTCCTCTGGCTGGTCGGCATGGCCGCTCTGGGGGAGTCCAAAGGATGACCCCTGGGTGCCTGGCCCCGGTGTGCACAGGAGCCCTCCTGCTGTAAATGGCATTTTGAGACAGCGGAGTTTGCTGCCGGTTGGAGTGGGCGTGTGTGTTAATGAGCAAGCGAGCAGGAACTTTTAGAACGGCCCATGGTGCCCGAGGGAACCTGTTCTTCATTCACAGCCATAGTCTGGATGTCAGCTCCAGGCAGTCCCTATGGAGACTGTCGACACTTTGATTATCCCCCTATAATCATTCAGTCTCTTCACCTTCCACTTCCTCGCATGGTGGTGCCGGCCTGGCCTATTCTTATTCACGGCATCGCCCCCCTCTCAGCGCGCTGACACCCGAGCGGGCGGCCGCACAGAACAATCGGGGACAGCCGGCGCTTGGGGGAGGGTCAGGGCTGCTTTTAGTGAGTTCGGCAAAAGCAGCATTTTGAAAAGACAGTGCTATTTGCAGGCGGGTTACATCCATCTTTTATAAACACCCACCTGCCATCCCATCCTCCCCCCTCCTCTCCATGCCACCCCAATCAGAGGCAGGCCTGGCAGGGACAAGGACAGTCAGGTAGGGATGTGCAATCTGTGTCAGAAGTGAAAGTGATGGGGAGCGCATGGGAGCGAAGAACAGCATCCTCCCCCAGCCCTCTTCTCCGAGGGAAACTAGCTGGCAGGGTAGAAAAGGGTGAGACCTGGAGCACTTCTGTGGCGGGAGTTGGGAAGGGCAGAGTAAAGGGTAAGATCCCCAGGAGGTGACTGAAGTTCAGTCTTTCATCTTCTGCCAAAGCGGAAGCTGAATCCCCCTTTCTTCCTGTTGTAGCTGTAGCCGTTGAGCTCCTCCGCCAGGTTCCCCAGGGTGCCGCTGCGCTTCTCGCCGTCCCCCCACAGGAAACCGACCTCTTCGCCTTCCCGGCTCTCCTCCTGCCTCCCGAACCGGAACCTGAAGCCGGCCCTCTCCTTGCCAAAGCCCTGGAGCTCCTTGGCCACGCTGAACAGGGAGCGGAGGTCTTCAGAGCTCCTCCGCCTCAGCCCTTCCTTCCACAGGCTGGCCTGAGAGGTGTCGTCTGCAGTGCCCCGCCAGCTGGTCTCCAGCCAG